ACATATGTCTTGCCATCATATACAAGAAAGGAAACCTGTACATATGTCTTGCCATCACATACGAGAAAGGAAACCTGTACATATATCTTTGCCATCATATACAAGAAAGGAAACCTGTACATATGTCTTGCCATCACATACGAGAAAGGAAACCTGTACATATGTCTTGCCATCATATATGAGAAAGGAGACTTGTACATATATCTTTGCCATCATATACAAGAAAGGAAACTTGTACATATGTCTTGCCATCATATACAAGAAAGGAAACTTGTACATATGTCTTGCCATCATATACAAGAAAAGAAACTTGTACATATGTCTTGCCATCATATACAAGAAAAGAAACTTGTACATATATCTTGCCATCATATACAAGAAAGGAAACCTGTACATATGTCTTGCCATCATATACAAGAAAAGAAACCTGTACATATGTCTTGCCATCATATGCAATAAAAGAAACCTGTACATATGTCTTGCCATCATATACAAGAAAGGAAACCTGTACATATGTCTTGCCATCATATACAAGAAAGGAATCCCGCATCTTATTATAATACATCAAACCATGTTAACATTTAATAGAAATCATTGAAAAAAAAACAAACATGAATTATTAACTCAAAAGTTATAAATTACACGAGGGAAGGTTTATAAACAATGTGATGTTAACTTGATAATTAAACCAACGGTACAAAAATTAACTAATTTGTATCAACAAAAATACATTTAATAAAATTCCCATTTTCAACTGGACAACTAAGATCGTTTGATTAATAAGAAAAACTACAAAATGAAAAAAAAAATGTTTTTTTGTATATGTGTCTATTTTAGCCACAGATTTGAAAGAAGAATATAGAGAAGCCTTAATTAAGGGTCTGCCCTACCCCATTCTGACTATAGCAGAGTATCTGAGTCAGGATCTAGAAGGGTTCTGCTGGGGTCGCCGGTACCGCTTAGCTGGGTATTACTCTGGTTTTCTTATGTGGTAAGTTGCTAATGTGACGTCACTAAAATGTTTCAAATCTGTATGGTTAAGCGATAGGTATAACTTTTGTAGTTGGTAGATTAAGTATGTCAAAATAAATTTCTATCAGTATTTTTGCATCTAATGAGAAATTAGCAATATATTCTCCAACCCAATACAGCAAATTACCAATAAAATAACTTCCCCAATCCCCACAGCGTTTAATTTCAGCTCACTGGGGTTTATTGGGGGCTCTTTATCTTTTTTATGAAACTGTTACAAATCGTTTTTAATAGATATTGTGTGATTGATGTTTGGGGTAACGATATTAATCCACAAAAGGAATAATGGAATCAAAATATTAACCACCAGAGGTCACTTTATTTCTTGACTCGTTTTATCAGAAAACAAACTTTTACATCGTTAGTCATGAATATTAAAGGTGCATTTTTGAATAATCTATAATCTGACTGTATTATTAAATCATGTACTTCTCAAACTGAGTTAGGGATTATTCATTCGGGTCATTTCGATCAATTTTTTTACCCAACATGAAGACGACGTATAAACAATCAAACATGCGAATGTGTTTCGTACATTTATGCCTCCCCCCAGTGACACAGCGGTATGTCTGCGGACTTACAACGCTAGAATCCGGGTTTTGATACCCGTGGTGGGCAGAACACAGATAGCCCATTGTGTAGCCTTTGTGCTTAATTACAAACAAACTCGTACATTTACAGAGATTGACTTCATTATATTTAAATTATTTTTGAACCTCGCCATGTCATTACAGTTAATGCTGCCATGTCCGATCATGTTCTGTCTGACGACCATGCATATTGAAAATAGCCCTGCAGCATAGTTCCATTGCAGATGGCTCTGTCGTAAGACGTCCATGTTCAAAGCACACTCGTTCTTTCTGAATGCTTTCCACAATCCATCTTGTGTACGAGAATGACAATTTCCTGTAGACCAATTCAACAGTCTGATCACACAGTAATCCATAGGCACTGTGTCAAGCGACTTGACTAGTATGGAATTGCATGGAATAGCACAAATGCCTGTTTCATTCTTCAAGTGCTTGAGGTATGTGACTGTTATGTTGCGGAAGCAACTTCTGTACACATGACTTGTGTCACTTTTCCAGACGGAGATCCTTTTTTGTTATGTTGTGTATTGTTGCCTGGGGCACGTGCATAGCTTTTGTCATTGACCTTTGTTTTTAATGGGATCTCACCCAGAAGCGTCTTTAGACACTGGCACACGAGGCCCGAGCTCCAATTCAATTTGACTGTGCCCCGAATCCTCAGTTGGTGTCTTGAAAAATTAAAATAGAAAACCATGATCGATATCATACTGAAACGACGAAAATTTTCGCGCCTATGAGCCCGATCCACGAATCTTCTAAATACCAAGCAATGCGTCTGATCTCTCCTATTACTGTACAAGACGTCACGCTTTGTTTACAACGGCTAGGGCTCGACTTGTTGCAGGTCTCTTTCTGGATGGGCCTGGTTTCTTAAGTTGACCTATATTTCTCTGTTTTCGAATGCCATTAAGTACAAGAGATATCCTTGTCTGGGAAGATCTAATTTCCCGATCTAAACACATGCTTATGATCTAAGTGTATGAATATTTTGCTCTGGAAAAAGCTGTTACATACCCCTCCCAAAAGCGATCAATTTTCGGGGGACAACACGCTGCCTACCTTAATACCAAACAATGGCAATATGTAGTTATAATACATTCTGTTCCACCACAACTTTATATCGACTGTGGTTATCACATCACTTCCTAATTTACATATTCAAAATCTCTTTAATATAACGTACTCAACCCTCTACATCCTCTATATGTTTTCTCATCTATCAAAAACAATTGTTTTCAATGAAAGAGTTCAGGCTAGCAATGCTAATGTTTTGTAAATATTTTGTATTTCTTTCACCAGGGTGGCGTTTTCTTTGTGGCTGTTGATGAACATCTTGCTGTGCACCGTACCCAGGTATGGAGCATACTGTATGCAGCTCACTGGCGGAGCCATGCTTTCCACCAACGCTGTTTTTGTTCTCCTTATACCAAGGAAACCTTTGTCTATTCCTTTTGAAGGAGGACATCTTTCGTTTCGTTATGGCTGGTGTTTCTGGCTAGTTTTAGTAGCTGGTAGGTTTAATTTCATTTGTTTGTTTGAGTACATATTTCAAAAATATCTTTGTGTTATGTCATTACACATTCAAACATTACACCTGATCTGATTCCACATTAAACAGGAATAGTGTACTGTGTTTGACCTAAGTTTCATTTTATTCTTCTATTTAATAAACTTGTGTTTGTCTTAATGTATGTTAATGGAAGAGGTGCTGATTCTGTAAAGCTATATCTGTTTATTTATAACTTGCTGTGTTATTATATTCATATTTATATCAACATTTCTTTGTAAATATTTTATCTAAGCCTTCTTGTTGAATATATTTACCTTCTTAAATTGATCAGTGGGATGTTTTCGGGCTCTATTATGTACAGTAACTGCATTTTTTAATTCAGTAAAATCACACTCTTCTGAACGTCTTGAAAGTTTTCAATAGCTCTGTTGTATGATGTGTGTAAAGCTTTCAAGAGCTCTGTTGTATGATGTGTTTACAGTTTTCAAGAGCTCTGTCGTATGATGTAAGTACAGTTTTCGAGAGCTCTGTTGTATGATGTGTTTACAGTTTTCGAGAGCTCTGTCGTATGATGTGTTTACAGTTTTCGAGAGCTCTGTCGTATGATGTATGTACAGTTTTCGAGAGCTCTATTGTACGATGTATGTACAGTTTTCAAGAGCTCTGTTGTATGATGTATGTACAGTTTTTCAAGAGCTCTGTTGTATGATGTGTTTACAGTTTTCGAGAGCTCTGTTGCATGATGTGTTTACAGTTTTCAAGAGTTCTATTGTACGATGTGTTTACAGTTTTCGAGAGCTCTGTTGTATGATGTGTTTACAGTTTTCGAGAGCTCTGTTGTACGATGTATGTAC